GGGGGGCGATTGCAGATGGATGGGGGTGTTGGCTGGTAAGAGCCGCGATACAGCTCAAGGGACACAGGGAGACAGGACAGAGGAGGGGAACAAGCTTATTTATGAAGCTGATGCTTAGGTAAAGTTCCCGTATTTTTGAAGCTGATGCTTAGGTAAAGTTCTCGTATTTTTGAAGCTGATGCTTAGGTAAAGCTGAGAACTCTCAGTTTTACCTAACCGTCACCTTCACTTTACTCACTTCCAGCTTTCTTTACCTAAGCATCAGCTTTATAGATGGGGATGTCCCCTATTGATGGCGGATTTTTCGCTTGCTTTCCTTGCTTTTACTTTCTTGCTACCTTCCTTTCTAGCCATCACCCCCTTCTCTTTCTCTTACGTGGCCAAGGCATCTGCCAAACGATTTACGCCACGTATTCACTCACTCCACCCACCCAACCCCTCCTCTTGTCTTGATTCCCCGCTCGCGAACCGCATACATAACCCCCTCACACCCATCCCAACCCCTGTCTGCCTCAAATCCCACAACTAAAAAATGTGCCCATGCACTCAACCTCTCTCCCTCCGTCTCACGCCCCCCCCCTCTGCTATGTCCCCTCCAGTCTTCCCCATCCCCGCCCCTTCTAGCACCCCGCGTATCCATGGCAAAAACCAACAGCGCTACGTACCCGCGCAATCCACCAACCATTTTCTCCCCGCACCTCCGAGCTCGCACCCGAAACCCTGCACTTCCTTCCACCACATCATCCGGCAATTACGAAAACTCGGCTCGGCTGGTGATCTATGGTGCTTTGGACATCCAGTGCTTTGCTCTGTTGTCTTCGCCAACACTACTTCGCGGCGTTGCTTGCTGGACTTTATCAGACGCGCTGGGTAGCGTTGCCTAATGGCGGCTGGATCACATGGCCACGGGGGTGATGGGTGGGAGGGTTAGACTTGGTTGGGGAGTGTTTGTTGGTAGTTGTCTAGAAACAGCTCAGAGGGTACTGCTGAGGCCAGGATAAGGGGGAGGAATGATGTTGGTTAGGAGTTCAGGACGATAAACGGTGACAGTGGTTGGGGGTGGTGGGTGCTCTGATTCTCTGGAGGCAGGAATTGGGGACAGGCTGCAGGAGGGGGAGAAAGGTCCGTATAGTGCTCATAGCTATCCCTGGATCCCCCACTTGCACAGCAGGCCCTAACGCCGTTACGCACCGGCCTTACTATAGTGCAATGATAGCATACGCGGCAGCGTTCCGTTCGTTGCCGTAGGTGAGGTGTAGTTGGCACGGGCGATGAGGACTGTATGGTGAGCAGGAGGAATTTTTGACAGTGATGGGAGGGGTGTGGGATGTGTGTGAAGGCGGTCTCTTTTGGGTGAGGAAGAGGGAAGGAGGAGAGGGAAAGTTCTGGAGCATGAGTACCAAGAAGAGGACATATAACAGGGCTGGTGCAAGCTGCTGTCAGGGGAAGCTGGTTTGTCAAATGCAAAACAGGGAAACTGCTTATCACATGAAGAAACAGCCTCTTCCCCTCCCCTGCCCTCCCTTCCTTATCTTTTGATTACCTTCAGAAATATATTAAACTGTGTCGGATCTTACTGGTATGCGCGGCCGGATGCTTCTTCCTCTCTTTGGTATGCTTTATGGTACGTTTGAGCG